AAAAAAAAAACTACAAGGCTATGATATCATAATAATACTATAATATTATATAAATAAAGAAGTTRAACACCGAATAATGTATCACCTGCATGAGTAAAGTCCTTACAGGACCCACATGGCCGTTGAGAGAGGAGAGGTGTAGTGCTGTGAAGCCATCGTCTTTTGGTATGTTTAATATTGTGGGATACTTGGAAAGAATTAGGGACAGAGCTCTGAGGAAAAATATATGGCAAATTATCAGACAAGTTTTGTTTTAATCTGTAGTGTTATTACATGTGAGGTAAAGAAACAGCAACAACAGAAGCAGCAACAACAACAGCTGCAGCAATAACAACAACAACAGCAGCAACAATGACAGCGGCAACAACAACAGCAGCAGCAACAACAACAACAGCAACAGCAGTAGCAACAACAACAGCAATTACAACAGCAGCTGCAACAGCAGCAGCAACAACAGCAACAACAGCAGCAGCAACAACAGCAGCAGCAACGACAACAGCAACAACAACAACAGCAATATCAACAGCAACAGCAGCAACAACAACAGCAATGTCAACAGCAACAGCAGCAACAACAACTGCAACAACAACAGCAATATCAACAGCAACAGCAGCAACAACAACAGCAATATCAACAGCAACAACAGCAATATCAACAGCAACAGCAACAACAGCAATATCAACAGCAACAACAGCAGCAGCAACAACGACAACAGCAGCAATAACAAAAGCAAGTTGTTCACAATCTTGTATACTCACTGTTCACGTCCCTTTAGCGCCGCCTTATGAAAAGCATTAAACCCTTGTTGATTGACAAGCTTTAGGTCACAGTGATTACTATTGATAATAATATGAATAATATCTGATTGATCTTTGGTTATGGCATYATGAAGAGCCGTATTTCCTGAAGAATCTTGAAGGTTTATGTCACAGTTTGCCTGCACAAACACTCKAACTACATCTGTGTGTCCTTTGTTAACAGCGACATGCACTGGTGTGCAATTGATGGCGTTCGGGATGTTCATGTTTGCTCCGTGCTGTATTAACACTGATGCCACCAATGGCTTGTTCCTTGATAAAACATTAAGAGRAAWTTTTTTTCAATAWYGAGCAATAATGGCAAAAAGCGCCAAAAACTAGACTTTCAYATGAGTTTTGATCCCAATTTTCGTTTTGGTTTAACACTCAAAACCTTTTTTAAACAGTTAGAAACTGATGTACTATGATAATAATGCTTGTTTGAAGCAGTATTTTCAATAGTACAAATATGTTTTGCTGCATTTATGTTAGAATGTTGCTTTGTCGGGCTTTTTTATGGCAAATAATTATATTGGAAATAAGCAAATGAAGGCCTAAACCTCATTTTCGAATAAGAYTTTTGCTTTGGGTTAACACTTTCATTCCACTTTCATCGGTCATCTCCACTTCCAAACAAGTTAAACTTTCTGAATAACAAGGTTTTAGCCTTGTACAACAGCCTTTCTTCAAGAAAATAGTTTTYGGTGCTCACTGCTTGAWTACAAAAATAGTTCTCTCTTAATAATTATTAAGATATTAATAATGAATATTAGTGATGTATGAGGGTGTTTGCATCAGGGTGCTGTATCAGTGCTGACGATTGTTTGCAGTCAAAATGTTTATGTTACTGTTTGTTTCTCCATGTAGAAAATTGATAGGACGCAGTGTTCCCTCTGACCTGACACCACAGGAATCCCACTCAGGAAACTCACCCAAAAGCAGCATAGTGAAGTGGTGTGTCTCCATCATTATCCTAACAGTAAGGAAAGGATTTAAAAGATCTGAATAAAATGTTTACACTCCTTTTGTCATCATGGAATCAAGGGTGGCATAGATGTAGTACACACACCTCTCACCCCTGGGGTCTCTGG